ATTGGGACACTATGTTAGCTTTTACATTCCGTTTAGTAAAACAGAGATAGGATTATCTACCTAATACTAATATTAAGGGCCCGATTCAAAAGGCGGTTATTTTAGAAACCGCACGACTAGTGAGGAGGTTCCTGTCTCTGCCCTGACCACTGGTTGCTTGAGTCATCGGATTCCGCAGCCGGTGGTGCTCTATTTTTTATATAATATATTTTATTTTTATGTCAAATCTTGTAAAATGTATTATATAAAGAATAAGAAATAAAGATATATTTGTATTTTTGTATGTAGTAAAATAATTTAAAAACTATTGGACCTATTTCAAAAATTATTTCACTATTATAAAGCTACGTAATTAATGAGTAACATAGGCTATTTTGTACATATTTTTTATTGTTTTTCTTCAAATTTCATGGGGACGAAGTCGGAACAAATAGCTAGTCTATATCTATCTATACTAACATTATAAAGAGGTAAGATTTGTATTTTTGTATGTATTCAAATAACTTAAAAAATAGCTATTTAATGGTGCAAGAATTTTTGAAATCGGTTCACACGGAAATCACAAGTTTCCAAAAATCCAAATCTTTCCTAATTATAATATTATAGTTACTATAGTTATGTATAGATACCAACAATCATATTATACAAGGTATGTTTAATAATCGATATTCGTTCGATTTCGATTCTGGAATCGATTATCATCCGCCGAATCGATTTAAAATTCAATTCGTTGATTTGGAAATCAAGCGACCCGGTGTCGTTTCTCGTTTTTTCTTGAAATACAGAAAAATAGTAGGAAGTAGTAACTGAAAATTCATTCTGAATTTAATATTTCAGGGATAATTGTAACTTGAAATTGATCTTTGTATTTAAAAAAGCCTCCTTTGTTCGGATGTAGTTCACATGTGAGGTATTTTAAAATATTCTTACTCTTACGAATTCGCGTCAAGCAATACTTAATATTTTTTTTTTTATAAAATAAGGTGGCAAACGAGCAAGCGGACACTTGAATCCGCCAAAATGGCGAAGCGACCGCTGCTCATAGACATCCGCAATTGCAGATGCGTTGCCTACCCTTATCCGACGGAGGAGGAGACGCACATCAAGAGGGTATTTCCTCTTCCTATGTATCTCCTCTACCGTCAAATCCACTTCTCGTTCCCATCCTCTCCTTGTAAGAAAAGGGTGGTAAAGAAAACTTTACTTCTACTATTACTAATACTTCTATACTAATATTATAAAATAAATAAAAAAACATTATCAACTAGCCAACGGAAACTCCAGTAGTTAGTTGACTTTTTTGAGTGTTTTCACTTTAATTCGTACGTCCTGTCTATTGTTTTAAATGTCTTTATATGAGAAGGATGAATGTTTTATTGTTTTAAAAGTTTTCATTTAAAATTTGCTCCGTCCGAATCGAACCTAACCTAAATCGTGTCACTGAATTAAAATACTCGAAATTTCCAGATTCCATGGTCGTAATGTATAGAATTGTCGTTTGAATTGTAAATATTAACCTGAAAATACCTTGAAATGTTTCATGTGTTTGTTTTTAAGGGTTTGATTATGGTAACAAAGTACCTTTGTAGTGGTGTTTGTTATCATTTGAGTTGGCACGTCGATAACTAGGGAACTGTAAGATACGACGTGCCAACTCAGGTATCGAAAAAAAATCTTGTTTAAAGTCTGATTTTAATATTAATTAAAATAAATTTCCTTTAAATCATCTTATTTGGTCCATTTATTATTATTACTCCTAAAATTTAGAGTAATACAAGCTTCGTGCGGTTTTACAAGCAGTATTATATTTCCCTTGCTGAAATTACTGAAAATTACAGCAGTTGTTTTGTAATTTTCAAATTATTAACAAATATATAAATCTAATTGCATGTATTAAATAATCTAGACCATAGAAAAGTGTATTTTCTGAGTATTTCTAAGAATACTGGCAAATCTTTGTTTTTCTGTATTCACTAGCGCCATCTATTATTGCAAACTTAAACTAACATTCCATTTAATGAATAATATTATAAACCATTCAATACTATGAAAAATAAAAAGTTAAACAATAAAAAAAAAACAATGAATCATCTTAATTGAAAAAAACCCTTTTGACGAAGGAACTCAATTACAAAATACTTTCGTAAGCTCAGCCCTCAAAATGCAGAACTGCGCGATACAAAGCGTTACATTTCAAAATCTGAGCAGATACGAGGAAATTCATTTATTCAGCGGTTTTTTGATATGCGTTACAATAATAGAGAAAGAAAGAAGAAAAAAGAGAAGTGCAAAAAGAGGTTAAACATTTTCCATTCCCGCAATTTTAAAGAGGTACTAACTAGGGTTGTTACGGAGGCCATTTTAACAGAAGCGGAAGCGGAGGTCAATAATAAAGTATTAATTGCGATTTATTAAAGAAATAAAAACTAAAACTACGTTAATTCAAAATACAGATGATACATAATTACAAGATATAGTTTATTATTGTATAACAATTATAGTTAGTCGACAAATCACGCCCGCGCGGGCATAAACAATACCTAATCGCCCCACTCGCGTTAAAGACGTAAATGAACCTCCGTTATACCTCCGCATAAGAAATAACGGAAGCGGATGCGGAGTTAAAATTTCTTGCAAAAGTTCCGCACTTGCGGATGCGGAAGCGGAGTTCTGTTACAACCCTAGTACAAATTATAACTTAAAGTTTTAATACAATTCTACTCGACGTTCGAAATCGTAAAAGTCACTACTATTTCTTTTTAAAAAGTTTAAAAAAAGTTTAAATTAAAACAAGAAGAGAATTTGGCGCGCTAGTGTTCCTTTCGTTGTGACATATTTTCCTTACACGTTAGGGATTGCGTGCAAGTCAATTGAAATTCGAAAAATTTAAGTCATCCCATCCAACACCGGCTATATAAAGCAATCTAAAACCACACACGTCCATTTAGTTCAGGACTCTTAGCGTGTTTACATGTGTCTAGTTAACCATTTTGAAAGCAACTTTTTTCTTTTTTTGTTTTTAAAACACGTGCCGTCGTAGCGTTCGGAAACTGTTTTGAAAAATTGTGTTTTGTTTAAAATTAGCAATCTGTGATAGTTTATTTTTTAAATATTGGTGAGTAAACTCCTATACTAAGACTTTTTATAGGCTCTATTTTAACTTTCAATCGATATCTTTACTAATATTATAAAGAGGAAAGTTTTGTATTCTTGTATGTATTGAAATAACTCAAAAACTAATGGGCCGATTTTAAAAATTCTTTCACCGCTAGGAAGGTAATTTATCTGTGAGTAATTTTCACGCGGACGTTGTTGCGAGCTGTTGCTTTCGATACAATTATATAAACTGTATAATTCTGTAAAAATAAAGAAATAATAACTAACATATTAATTATTTGCTCGTAACAGTCAATATTAAAAATTCCATTTTTTAATAATAATATTAACTCGTCGATTGGACAAATTAATTTCATACAGGAACGGTCTGTCATCGGCGCTATTTCCAATCCAATACGACTTAGGGTCCTTCAAGAAGCGAGTACATTTCATCAAAGGCCGGAAACGCATCTGTAGTTCCTCTGGTGTTGCATGTCCATGGGCGACGTTGACTTCATTTATAAAAAAAATATTACGATATGTTTATAATGTCTGTTAATGCAAAACTAACTTTTGTTTGCGATAGAATTAAATACATCCACATCGTAGACTCGTTGCTTGTCTATATTTTGCATAGTTTCTATTATTATAAAGATTAGCGCTAAAACTGTATTTTTAATTCATTGTCTAAATGTATTTAGTAAGGGTTCAAATGTATAGGTGTTATTCCTTCAATAGAATTACATGTAAATTGTCTTCAACAATAAATGTTTAACAATTAGGTAGAAGAGGCTTTAAATAAGGGGAGAAATATTAAACTTTTGAACTCAATGTGGATGGTGTCACGGGCAACAGTTAGTATAGATTTGAGAAATACACAATTTTCAACGCATATTTAAGATTAAATTTCTTTACCTAAAGAAGTTTAAATTCCACGGCTAGTCACGGGCGATAGCCAGTCGACGTTATACCGCGCACGTCCTTTAGGAACAAAGATATTTGAAATAAACAGAGTAGACATAGACACTTCTATTGAAACATTTTTTACATAATATTGAAATGTTTGTTTTATTTTAGATGTTTAATTTATTATTACAAAAAGGAGCTTATTAAAATTTAGTAAATGTTTTATAACATGTCAATACAAGGGCATAAAGTGGCACTAAACTTAGCAGATGTAGTTTCAGAGAAGGTACCGGTGAAAATTTTGTTCACTGCCTTCTCTATACATTTCTTAAATGTCTGGCTAGGAAGTAATATTTTTAGACGTTACATTGGCTAACAATGGGATGCACTCGGTTTCCTACTGCAGTGTTGCCAACTTATTAAATACGACCCAACACTAGAGTCAATTATATTAACTCTAAGAGGACGGATATCTTTGACTAAACCCTCGCACTCGTTTATTCTTGCTTTGATTCCTATCAGCTTATATAGAGGGCATACTACTCGATTTTTAGTTGTGCTAAACAGTTGAGTCTGCAAAACAATTGACAATCACACAACGGTTGTGCGATAGTTTAGTCAAAGTTGTCCGCACGCTCTAACGTTGAATCAATATAAGAGAAATACATTTCTTTCAACCTTCTGTAGTATAATTTAACAGACATAGAGTTCGTAACATCTCACGGATGTCCTGCCTCGCTTCATAATACCACGACAACAAAGAAAACTGGTGTGAATTGGAAGTAATTCCGCTTACATTTCGATGAGTGTACATTATGATTATAATATCTTTTGGTATTTATTTTATAAAAAAAAGTAAACTTAAAGACAAAGTACTCAATGGTGCTCAAATTCAACTTGGTAGTTTTGTAGGAATCTGCAATGATATATTTTCTTGCTAAAGTATACTTTTTTAATATAAAACAATTTAATTTTTTTATGTTTTCTTTTTGTTTCAGATAAATATAACCTTGAATCTCTTCTAGTACAAAGTTTTGAAAATGTTCTACATAGTACTGCTATTCGCCGCTGCGGCGCTAGTGGGTGGGGGCCGCTCTTCAAATGTCAACCGACACATGAAGTTGCTGGAATTGGATAATAATCTTCTTAATTGTAAGTTAAAAATAATACATAAACTCTTAATCAATTGTAGAAATTTTATCAGAATACGTATAAATTTATAATAAAATTTAAAGCAAGCAATACTTTTCAAATCATACTTCATACTAATTAAAAATGCGAAAGTTTAGATGTATGGATGATTCTGACTATATCCAAATCGGTAAAATGGATCTTACTGAAATTTGTCACACATATAATACGCTTCCTAATAATATTTTTTCTTATTTCCGTGCAAAAGAAGTCGGGGATAAAAATTAGCTTGCAATATATCTATACATTAAGAAATTCTTGTAGGTTATTTAATTAAAATAAATATCTTTTGCAGTACAATCAAGACAGGCGTCAAAGAAATTTCTAGCTATAATAGACAAACCAAAACCTGTGATCGTCCATACAAATGGAGCGCCGCTGGAGTTGAACTGCGAAGCTGTAGGTACTCCAGCGCCATCTATACATTGGTTTAAAAACGACGCTCCCGTTTACGAGGTAAAATAAAGGAACAGTTTAATTTTTAACAAAACAAGTGAAACACTATTTTATAGACAGCGATAAGTAACTTTTTTTTTATTGCAGTATGATTTGGAGTCAAACGAGATAATAGACACGAACCCTACTTCTCTCGGACGAGTGTCGTCTACATTACTGGTGCGAGCGGCGTCGGGTGCGGGGGGCGCGAGGGGCGCGGGGGTCACGGAGTACTCCTGCTTAGCGGTAGCGGGTCTGAACACGCTTCGGGCCTCTACTAAAGTCTACAATTCGAGTAAGTTATACTGGGAAATGTTGTTTTAAAAAACATTTAGTATAAATTTTTTGAAGTATAGAGTTAAGATTGATAAAAATGATGTTTCAAATTCTTCACAATAGACGGCAGCACTTAGTTTAAATAGTAAGCAGAATTTGGAGTTGCAATGTTTGTTATAAAAAAGTAAAACTAAAAAAAATTGTGTTCCTTTTTATGTTAGTTCCTTTTTAACACTTAATCTTCTCATCAACAGATGGCAGCACTGACCTATCAGAGCGCAGTAAGTTGCTTCCTTTCGCGCCACAGATCCTTGTGACGTACAAAGTGTTAGCGGACTGCATCGGGTGCAGCGTGGCGCTGCCGTGCCGCGCGCGCGGACATCCGCGCCCCAAGATCACCTGGCGCGACAGCACCGGCCGGCTCGTAGGCAACGACCCCAGGATGAAGGTATCATCTTTTATTGTAATTACCAAGCATGATTCTAATTAACAACAAAATTATTCATTATCTATCTGCATTTAAATTGAGAATTACATTTGATTGCATATAAAATTAATTTTAAAACGATGGCGATTAGCGCCTAATGAAAATTTTTAGCAAATATTCGGCTTCGAATTCAACTCGTCTTAAGAAATAGGCGTACTAAAGGCTAATAACTAAAATTATTTTATACTGTTGTTTGCGACTTCGTCCGCGTGAATATAAAAAATATAGCCTTTGTTTCTCACTCACTGACAATGTAGCGTTTTCATGGTGTAAGAATTTTTAAATCGGCCCAGTAGTTTTTAGGTTACTTAAATACATACACAAATGCAATTTTTCCTCTTTATATTAGTATAGTAGTATAGATTATAAAGTATTTGGGTAATCGTCAACCAATATCTACACTTATATTATAAAGAGGTAAGATTTGTATTTTTGTATTTTCATATAAATTCGATTCACTACTGAGCCGATTGCAAAAATTCTTTCACTGTTCGCAAGGTAATTTATCTGTTAGTAACAAAGGCTATATTTTTTAATTTCCCGCGGGCGAAGTCACAAGCAACAGCTAGGTATAAATAAAATTATTTCTTTCAGGTGCTACGTTCGGGCGAGTTAGTAATATCTTCTCTGCGCTGGACGGATCTTGGGGAGTTCACTTGCCGCGCGACGAACATGTTCGGGAGCACGCTCTCCACCACCTTCGTTTACCCCGCACGAGTAAGTCGCTCTCTATTGCACTTACTAACAAATACATCTACCTTCTCTCTCAACGAAAAACGTAATACTTGATTTTCAAATTCCATTTTACTAAATTAACGTTAACATAGTATTCTAGTGTTTCTAATACAACATATTGCTCGCAACTTCAACCGTGTGAAATTAAAAAAAATAATAAAAATATAGTCTATGTTACTAATAATTTTAATGGTGTTAGGATTTTCGAAATCCGTCCAACATTTTTTGAAATATTTCAATACATACAAAAATACAAATCTTTCCTCTATATAGTATAGATATTGAAGTGGGGGTGCTAGATTTTGTATGATTCTAAATCCATTAAAATTCAAAACCCAACTATCGTGACCATTGATTTTCATTTCCAACCGCACTCTCGCTAGGCAATAAATACTGCATGGATTCTTTAAATAAGTATATACAAAAAGGAGTGATGTTAGATCTTAAAGTATGAATTCTTTTGTTTCAGCCTGAATAAATCCCCTGAGAGAAGATTAAGTATACTTAACAAGAATGTTCCTGTAATTAGTTTAAGGGCTTTGCACACTAAATTGTGAAACGCTGCGTTATTCTATCGTTGCCAGAATTAAGATAAAAATATGTAAAGGAATTATTAACATCGAAATTGCTGTGATGTTATTGTCTGTTTATTTCTAACAGTGTAAGTGAGACGACAATATCAATAGAAGTGCCAAAATGCAATTAAATCTGTTTAAATTATTTAGTACCAACATAACTACATATATGGTTTAGTGTTTACAATATTTTAAAGTTTACGTTCCGTTTTTGGTGACATGTAAATCTGTACTTAAATAGTTAAGGTTTTTTTTTTAAATTAAAGCTCATGGAAACCTTTTGCGGCTGGACCGTTACTCTTTAAATTATTTAAAGCATTGACGATGTTTTTTTGCGACAAAATTCTGCGTTTTTACGTGTGCATGCCCTCCACTAAAGCGATTCTATTGTTATTATATAGTAGTTTTTAGCTTTAGTATACTTAAATAACATGTTTCATATGTCTTTTAATATGTTTATTCAAAAAACAATGAGATATTTGACCCCCTCCCATGTAGATACAATGTAATAGAAGTAGATATTAAAAAAATAAAATCTCCAAATTATGAATGAAGTTTTTTTTTAATAAGTAGCTGTTGCCTGCGACTTCGTCCACGCAATATTAAGATAAAAAGTAGTCTGTAATATGCCCGTCTATGTCAGCTACTCTCCAGTAAAACTCCGGTCGAAATCTGTTTGCTTATATCGCCACTAGATGGCATTTACACAACTTCTTGTCATTTCATCGAAGCGGTGGCGGCCGCTTTTTAATCTGTCATCTGTAAGCCGTTTCGGAGACTACACGGAACAAACGCGGACAGACAGACACTTTTTGTCTTCTTTTTAATCTTTATTATCCTGGTCTTTGTCTGTATATAACAGGAGTTGCTGTGAAATTAAATCAAAATATAAGCGTGTCATTTACAGTCGCCTTAGTCCGTAGTCTTGGGCTTAATCTAGTACAATTGGGAAAACGTACTAGTACACACTTTTAGTACCTTTAGTATTTCAGATTTTTGAAAACACAATATGTTGGATGTTTGTTAGTCTGTAGCCTAAACACCTAAACGGATTTCGATAAAATTTGGCATAGCTGTAGAGGATAGTCTGGAAGAAAACATAGGCTACTTGCTTTTGTTTTTTTTTTGTATTCCATACGGACGGAGTGCCGAGCGAAATCTAACATATAATACTTACAATTTGGCGAACATCCTGTCACAGATAAGATAGTTCCGTTTGGACATTTTGTAGATGTCAATAAACTTAATACGGATTTCGTTACTATATTCCGCTTTGCCTCTGTAAATATAAAACATAATAAAAAAATAGGTTCAAAACAAAAATAAAATCAACATTTGATACGGCTTATGTAAACAGTTAAAGCTAATGGGCTTGTAATGTAACCTAGTATCAAGTTTAGTAGCCAAAATGTTCAAAATATGCTATTGTCCGAAAGTAGTTTGCTCTGAGCTAGTCTTTATCTATACTATCTTTACAACAGTGGTAGTGCCCGCTTTAATATCTTAGCTCTGCAGGGCCGGCACGCCCGGTGTAATACCACAACCGCACAGAAGACAGGCGTCAAATGGAAGCAATTCCGTGTTTCGTCTGATGAGTGTGGTGCCGGAGGCCTAATTTAAGTCCCTTTCTCTTTACCACCCTTTTCTTATAAGGAGAGGATGGGAAGGGGAAGTAGATTTGACGGTGGAGGAGATGCATAGGAAGGGGCAATATCCTCTTTATGTGCGTCGCCTCCTCCGTCGGATAAGGGTAGGCAACACATCTGCGATCGCGGATGTCTATGGACAGCGGTTGCTTTGCCATTTTGATTTTAGTGGCCGCTTGCTCGTTTGCCACCTTATGTTATAAAAAAAATGCTAATATAATATAGCGTAAACACACACTTCTTCGTAGCGTAGGATGTCAGCAATCGCAGCATATTTTTGAATAATTCTTTCTTTAATAAACCCTACACTTACGACAGGCTTTAGGTTATATATTTTCACGATATTAAACTTAGGGGCCGATCGTGTTTCGGGGGCTCAGGAGTTTAAGCACTTGACTTGTAATCTACAGGTCTTGGGTTCTAATCCCGCCATGTACTAAAGTGATTTTCGATTTTTGAATTTCATATGTACATAATTCACCCGACGTTCTTATGGTACAGGAAAACGTGATGAAACCTCACATATCGGCGAAGAAATTCAAAGATATGTGTGAAGTCAACCCGCAGTGCAGCGTGGTTGAGTATGGCTTAGTCAACCCTTACTTAGTGTAGGTTCCGAACCCCTCAGTGGAGATGTATAGTGAGCTGGTGTTGATGATATTATAAAAAGGACAGATTTGTATGTATCGAAATAACTCAAAAACTACTGGCCGATTTCAAAAAAATCATAGGCGTATGATATATTTTTTAATGCGGGCGAAGTTTCGAGAGACATCTAGTGTATAATAAATTATTTATTGATGTAACTTATTGTTTAAGTTAGGAGATATTAAAACATACCCATGTTTGAATTTGTGAGCGCTTCCTCTCTTGTCTGTGGCAAGGAAAAGGACGACGCGAACAACAAGCAAATCAAGATGGCCGCCAATGTTCTCATATTGATTACTGAACGTGGACTCACTTTGCAGACAGAATGTAGGCATTCAGTAGCTCTAGGTTATATAGACTTTTATCCATAAGGTAAGGTGGGGTGCAGTGTAAAAAAACAATCAGAAAGTAGCAATTACATTAAATTTATTGGCGTTCTGGCCATGAATATTAACTATAGTAATCTCTTGTTAAGAAAAATTCTTTAAAGGTGAACATCTTGAATTACTCGTTTCGAATTGCAAAATTGTTTTTGTCCAATGAACAATTCATGTTTCATACATATTTCTTCTGTAATAAGCAAACAAATTGGTCGATTTTTATGTAAACTTTAATACAATTATGCCGTAACACACATAAAAAAAAAACAAACAGACGAATTGAGTACCTCCTTCTTTTGGGAAGTCGGTCAAAAAAAAACATATCTGTTACTTGTTTGCAAAATAATATCGCTCTACAATAATAAGTAGTAATCTTGAAAGAACACTCATAACTAAAGGCCCACACTAACACACACATACTCACGCATGTATTCGCATTCATACACAGCACACATGCAAAAACACCAACTTAATTTTAACATATAATATTTCTAGTTTATCCCGTGCGGCTTCATCCGCATAAAATTATGAAAGTTTTATTTTATTACATTTGTCAAATTCTCAATTGCAAATATCAAAATACCAACTACTTCAGGCAATCTTGCTTCCTTGATGTTGGCAGCAACTTATGGTCTCTTTCCCACATTGGTTTTTCTAAAATATTTACCCCCTAAGTTTAATGGCGCGAAAATAAATAGGCTAAAGCGTGACGTAAGAGTATGGCTTTTTATTAAAAAAAGAATTATTCAAAAATGTGCTGTAATTGCTGATATCTTAGGCAACAAAGTTTGTGTTTACGCTTTATTATAATAGTATAGATATATCTCTTTAAATGTAGCAACTAACTGTTAATAAAATTTGATAATGGATAACAGAAGGTCCTGTCTTCTGAAAGACATTAGCATAATTGGTTCAGAAGACAAAGCCACAATGAATTTTGTGAAAATGTTTTTTTTTGTCCAATAAAGCGTACTCTTCCCTTAAAGGCCGGCAGCGCATCTGCAGTACCCTTGGCATTGCGGATGTTCATGGGCGTCGGATAACTTAATATCTAGCGATCCTGCTCGTTTGCTCGCTTTTCTTATATAAAAAATATATATTTTTATCTACTTACAAAGATTTTTTTAATATAACGTGATTTAGTCGCGAAATCGCTCATTTTCATTTAGTCTATTGTAAGAGAGCGCCCTCTATCTGCAGTATTTACAACATAAAAATGTTACTTTGTTTTAGTGTTACCTAATTTAAATTCTACCAACTTATGAAAAAAATGTGTTACTAATGGTCCCGCAAGATCGCAGTTAAATAAGAAAATACTGAATTTATGAAACAATTTGTTAAATTATAATTTAAATAAATACAAAAAATCTTTTAAACTATATGAGAAAAATTTACTGTACGGGCGATTGCAAAATTAACTAGCCAGAGGGCTACAAACTCATATAAAGAGAATAAAATGCATAAAAAAATATTTCAGAGCTTCTCTCATATTATATTAGTGACAATTTAACTTAGACAAGACGTCACTATCAGATAAGGTAACAATCCGATATTTTCATCACATATTTTACTCGTTGGATTTAGACAATTTACAATTTGGTTAGCCCTAAGGAACGCTCATGTATTTCACGAAAATCTCGTAAAAATTCCAAAAGTTACTCTTACTAATGTTATAAATGCGAAAGTATGGATGAATGTTTGTAACAAACTGCTGAAAAGATCTCGATGAGTGTCTGACATAGAAGATAGCCTGAAAGAACATATAGTCTACTTAGTTTTTTTTTTAAATTCATGCAGACGAAGCCGCGGGCGAAAGCTGGTAGTAAATAAAACACAAAAGTCATATGCATTAACATCTTTTATTCAAAATGTTGATTTTTACATTACAAATCGAGACATATTTAAATACGTAAGTCAGGGTGAGGTCCCACCACTAGAAATAATAAACATATAAGAAAATGCTTAAGATGTCATAAAATTAAAAAAAAACTGAATTTTTCACAGTAATATGTATTGAAATCAAAACTGGGCATATTTTAAATATTGTAACACAATTTAAAAGCTACGTTATCGTTGAGTAACATAGGCTATATTTATTAATTTTACGTGGACGAAGTCGTGAGCAACAGCTAGTATATATTTTCTGTAGGGGGAGGTACCCTGTCCCCTGCTCCCCTTGCAACGCCCATACAACTGTCTGCCACCAGTCCAAATTAATATCGTTCTATTTTGTACATCCATACATCTCTATCAAACGTCACAAGTCACAGCTTTTTACAACTTAAAAATCTTTAAGTGACTAGAATACAAAACTATGAGAAATAAATTTAAAACATCAAAAAAAAAAGAGCACAAAACGATATAAGGACAGAAATACAATTGCCTATAAAATGGAATTATATATTTTTTATATGACAAACAAACAAGTCTAAATTCGCCGAATTAGCGAAGCGACTTTGTTGGTCGACAAAATTCGTAAACGCAGAAGCATTGCTTGTGGCATTCCAGCTACTGGCGCTGAGACACATGCCAGTATAGTCTATATACTTTACCGGCATGCCAATTAACTACCTCTTATCACTTGGCCAGTACAGTTGGACAGTAGACATAACTGTACTGGATTTTGCTGGCATGTGAACATAAACAATAGTGAATACTTATCCATGCCTGGCTTAAGCATTAAATCTGTAGCTGGAATGCAAGTATGCTACTGGCATGTGTTTCCAGCCTTAGAGTATAACGTAATCTATTTTTTTGTTTCCGTGCGAAAAAAACATCAAACATCAAAAATTTTTTTAAGTAGTTTATAAAAAAACCAAAAATATGAGCATATTCATTTGTTTTGGTAACATTTTTTTCCTTTTTACATATTATACAAATATCTTAAACACTACTTTATACGTCACTTAGGTAGTTTTAAAAATCACTGAAAAGTAAAAAAAAAATCTTACTAAAAATACGTAAATTTGGATGGATGCTACTTATGTGTTAATTAACAAAACTCGTTTAAATTTGACATGGAGATAATTTAGGATGCTGCTGCCCCC